GGACACAAAATTTTAACTTTATTCCTTTTTTTTATTTTTGTAGGTGCACGAACCAATTTGACGAACCGCAACTTGTTTTGTGACCCATAGTTTTGCAAAGATATATTCGATTTCTTAAAATAAAATAAAAAAGTTTATAGAAGACTTTATATTTAAAATAAACAATAATAATTTGTTTTTACAAAATTGCTTAATATAAAATGTTTATATTCCTCATACTAAATGAAATTTTATAAATAATCATTAATAATTTCTCAAGCCATGTGTAAAATAATAATCCAACGAAAAATAAAAATGGAACTAATAATTATTTCTGACAGAAATATAATAAAAAATGTAGTACTCTTACTATAGATTTTTTTTTTACCAAAATGCCACCTTCTGAAAAAAAAATATACGAAATTGCCACACATGCAGTACGGGTTCGTCCAATGGAAGGACGGACCTATGAAAAGCTTTTTTCCCATGTTGGGGTTCGGCCAACCAAAAGACAACCCCATGAAGTGTCATTTTTTTATTTAAATATAAAACTCATTTTAAAATATATATTTAATTGCTTTATAAATATTAAATACTCTTTTAATGATTTAAAACACTAAAAAATATATATTAGACATTACAAATTAAGAAATATTTTTTAAAATAATATAAAAAAACAAACAAATTAATTTAGACGAGCCGATTTGACGGGCCTGCTACATTCGGGAATTTTTTCTACGCATATGACCAATTTCTCGACATATTCCGCATCTTCTCTTTTCTTTCTCAGGATCATCCATTTAGGTTCTAATTCTTGTACTATTTGGACGTTCTTTCTTATTCCTTCGCATTGTCTCGTCATGGCAAATAGTAAATCCTTCATATGTTGGCCAATTTTTGTGGTGTGAAAGTCTAAGGAAGTTTTCATTGTAGACTTTGAATACACTCAGAACCTTGAAAACATCTGGTATGTGCATGTTGTGGTCCTGGCGTATACTAGCACATGTTGCGATTACGTGAGAGCAAGGTAATCGCAATCAATGCTTGAAACCTCCCACAATTGCACCACCCTCTCCTGATATCAATGCTAAAAGTACCTAATGGTCGACCGTCATGTTGATTAATCCTTTCGGCCACCATAAAACATAATCTCTCGCAATCAAATTGGATGACATTATGGCTGCTAGATTTACTCGCTTCGTCGGCCATTCCCTTATTACAGTTTTCGGTGAAAATTTGGCCGGATGCTAACATTTTTGTCCAATCGTATCCTCGTTTTCCAAATAGTGAACCCAGACGATAGAACGTTGACTTGACCAATGCAGTAATAGGAAGGTTTCGGGTAGCCTTAAGTGTCGAGTTCATAGCCTCGGCCAAATTTGTTATCATGTATCCCCACCGGTGTTCTCCGTCGAACGCCCTCGACCGCTTCTCTCCGAGAAATCCACTCCAAAGCTGCTATACTTGTTCTTCGTATTTCGCCCCGGTAGTAGTTAAATGTTGCCTCCGTTAGTGCATATCTTGTAGGAAAAATGTTTTAAAAAAATGTTCATGGAAAAAAATGAAAATCAATTAGTCAATAAATATTTATTGAAACATCAACTCGTGAAGATGTAGGCATACCCATGTTGACAACTGTTTTCCGTAGTTCTTTGTCTCTAAACTCATGCATGAAGTTTTGCGCAATGTGTCTGATACAGTAAACATATGAAGATGGAGGATACTGCCATCCATTTTCAGGATCATCGTAAGCACTCTTGATTGATGGATGTCGCTCGGATATTAGACAAAGATTGGCCTGAGGGTCACATTCATTCTCAAATTCCTGAGAAAGAAACTCCAACCATCCTTTGTCTCACCTTCAACCAATGCGAATGCTATCGAAAAAATGTTATTATTTCCATCTTGTGCCACAGCCATCAACAAAGTCCCTTTGTACTTGTCGTACAACCAGGTTCTGTCGATTTTTACAATAGGTTTATAGTAAGTAAAACCACGAATACACTATTCAAATGCCCAAAAAAGTCGGTAAAATTTCCGTTTGTCGCCCAATTGGGATCCTTCGTCTGTAATAATTGGCAATGTTTCCAACTGTATAACAGTTCCAGGAAGATATGTCTTCATCACCAACAACCATTGTGGTAATTCATTGTAAGACGTCTCCCAATTCCCATAAAGTAATTCTATGGGTTTAATCTTTGAAATCCAAGCCTTCTGATATGAGATTCTATAACCGTATTTTTCAGCAATATGGACTTGTATCACTTTGACTTTTAGTGAAGCGTCACTGTTAACAAGTTCCCTAATGTCGTAACTAATAATTTCAGAATCTAATTTTATATGATCATGCGACATAGAAGTTGTTGTGCAAGTTTGGGATCCGCTTATAGTAGCGATCTCCCATAATGTGCTCTTTTTACGAAATGCAGCTCTACATGTGAACATGCACTGTGGGTTCTTACATTTTACTATATACCTTACTGAATCAGATTTATATACTGCATAGTTAAGATGGTTACTTATATGCCAATGTTGTAAAAAAAGAACACACGCTTCCTTATTTTCAAACACCAACCCTACTTCCAAGTTGTCACCAATATGGTTTGATTTCTCGTTTTCAAAAATATTGATGGGTTGAGAAGACTCCAGGAATATGTTTGACTTATGCACTGGTGGGCTATACAGATTAATGGGTTGAGCATTTATAACCTGTGATGCACGGGGAAAACACCATCTTCATCGCCATCACCAAATAGATCTTCAAAGCGAACATCTTGGAGTTCACCGTCACTGTATTCACCAACATCCTCGTTCCGTACGAAAGGTTCATTATTTTGTGGTATTTCTTCGCCAGTTGCTTGGCTCACTCTGTATTGATGCGAATATGATAACTGTGTTGGATATGCTTCGTCATCAAGGCGAACATATAACTCAATCATCTTCAAATGATGCATTGCGTAATGACATTGGAACATTGATTTGACTACAATGGTTTTTATCCATTCCATTTATGCATGATTCTCAAGGACAGTTCCTAGAAGACCCCCGTCAACATGCATCGTCTTCATCACAGCAAATATCTTCGTCATCCATGCCTCAAGAAATCCCTCAGATGAACCCTTCGCAATTTCAGACCTAGACATCTTCATTCCCCCAACACACCCAACCCACACAACCCCAACCAACTTATCAACGCACTCATACCACATTCTTTGCCACCTCCTCTTAACAACCAACACCGTACACCCCAACCCCGCAACCTAACTTCTACTACCACCAAGAATACCAAGAACAAACCACATTTTGACCATCCTTCCAGTTCACTCCAATTCCTCGACCTAATTTTGATTTCTCTTACCCCCAATCACAACAACAAACATTTAACGCTTCACTGTCTCAACCGACTTCTACCGGCCGCACTGACGATGTTTATTACCCTCCCATCAAACAAAGCCCTCCAAACACCTTAAACCAACCATCCCAAACAGTCCCAACTATCTCCTAACCGATGATCAACTTATGGAATGGCCAGGTTTTTCTGTTACTGATGTGGACATGGTCGATACATCACATCAACCTGAAAATGTATGTGAAGATGAAGAGTTGTCTCCCGAATCTACTCCATCACCACCAAAACAACAACCAGAAGAGTTAGGCAGGAGAAAACGCATGAAAAAGAGTAAAATGTGTGGAACTGGGGGTCATTTACATAGACAAAAATGATGTATCTTTTTCATTCATTCGTATTAATAAAATTGCTTTTATCTATAATTTTATTTAATAGACAAATTATTTTAATTAATTACATAATTAATTAAATAATACGAAAAATATTTAATAAGATTATAAAATTAATTAAATTATATAGTTTTTAATACTTTAAATCATTAAAAGAGTATTTAATATTTATAAAACAATTAAATATATTTAAAATGAGTTTTATATTAAAATAAATTTAAAATTTTAAAAAAAAAATGACCCTTCATTTGGTCGTCCTTTGGTTGGCCGAACCCTAACATGAAAATTTTTTTCTTCGTAAATTCATCCTTCCATTGGACGAACTCCAACTGCATGTGTCACAATTTCGTATATTTTTTTTTCAGAAGGTGACAATTTAATACTTTGTAACTCAATGGTGGTATTTTAGTAAAAAAAAATCCCTACTATTTCTATACTGTGACCTCTTTGATTACTCAGACCATTAAACCAGCAATAAAAGCGTGGTCAGGTTGAGACTTTAGGGACCATTTGACGGTGACTTTACTTACGTACACATTTATTATCAGTGACGGAGCCAGAAAAATTCTAAAGCCTGGGCAAAAATTCAAAGACCGCAAATCCACATTGTATATAATAGCATATACTCCTATTTATTTCAACTATCATTCTTTGAAGACCGCAAATCCACATTGTATTATAATCCGCAAGAGTTTAATGGATTGATAATATAAAATTGATTTTTACTTTAAATCTCAATAATTATATATGCCTACTATTTTAAAATAAAATAAATTAGAGCCATCTATAGAAGACTTACTTGGTAACCTCCAAAACCACTTAAACTGCTTTTATGTAGATCTGCATCGTACCATGCTCCTCTTTTAGCTTCAATGAAAGGCCACATGATACCCGCATCGTACTTATGTTTTGAACCTATGGATTAATATATGAATACACAACATGTTAATGCTTTCAAATGGCAGCATTGGATCAACAGTACACCTTTCAACCAATTTCCACAAAAACAGTGAACTAAAACTTTATAGCAAACACATAGAATCATAAATCAGAATTCTCAGTAACATATACCATATGAGACTGGACAAGTTGAGAGGAAAAAATTGAATTATGATTTAACCTCGAGTCTCAACTCAACTTGTTTCCAAGTGAAACTTCAGAAAAACAATTTAAAATCAAAAAAATATATAGAACATATGTTTTAACATGAGCCAAAAAAAGAAGAATTGCATACAGACAGGTATTGCCAATTCAGATGTGTAAACAGAGAAAATGAGTGTTTGTCAGGAGATATTTGCATTTTGCAAAGACTGGCATGCCACTGTGCCTACAGATGTACGCATTACATGGTCACCTAACATCGTCGTACAAGAAACACCTGTCTTAAGATGAGGCTGCACCAGTTCCCATATCTTTTTCTTTTGTATCTGCATGTTTGTTACACAAGAATGTTATGGCAATACAAGAGAATAAACCACACAAAATATCAAAGTTAAGAGAGGAAGAACATGTATAAAGTTTACAATCAAACAATAAAGTTGAGTTATTGCCTGATTCGGTTTGGCAGCTCCAGGTTGATTGTCCTTTTCATTTTCAGATCCAAACCATATTCTTTCACCAGGATTTGCTTCCTCTGGAGGGAACAGAAGTTCAACATTCTCATGCTTTGAATCAGAAGCAGACATCAACATTCTACATGACTTGACAGTTGACACCACGCATATTCCTTGGCTTAACATTCCACAGAACAACTAATGTAATAATGATAGCAATTTATAACAACAATTCAGGTGCAGAGCATAAATTGAACCTCATGCAACCTAAAGTGAAAGAATCAATAACAACAATTCAACCTCATAATTCGTAAGAAACAAAAATGAAAAAAAGAAAAGAAACTTGGTTGAGGCAATTTACCAAAACACTTAGTGTGCAACTTGCAAAACGGTGGAAACAACAACAATTTGATACCGATTCATAAACCACAACCTACAACAACAACAATCATCAACAAAAACAATAATTCAACATCATGAAGTGAAAGATTTGAAGCGAAAATAGACGAAAAATTGGTTAAAGCATTCTATCGAACACCTTGTGAGCAAGACTAAAAGCTGTATTTTTCTGCATTCCACTGGCTCCGCCACCGAATTCATAATTTTCTACCAAGGCAGGACAATGCTAATCCCAAAGGAATTATTTCCTTGAATTAAAATTGCATCTTCAACTTGTAAGATTTTAAATTCTATAGTATATACACGTTCCATTATCTCAGGTGTGCTCACAATTTGTCGTCTTGTTCATTGTGTTAAGAGAGAAGAAGAGTTCCATGAAAGTGATTCGAGGCGGTCGAGCCTGGGCACCTGCCCTACCTGGCCGGGCGCTGGCTCCGCCCCTGTTTATTATGTTCATACTTTTCGAGCAACCTTAATCATCATACACATGTCAAAATTTTGATTGTGTAACCCAAAGAGCCAAAAATATATCGACCATTTGACAACTTTACATTTCTCACATTGCTGCTCACTAACCTTAATATACAGGCTAGGCTCTCTTTAAAAACATAGAATGGACACACCCTTTAGTTCTTGAAAAAGAAATTACAAAAACCAATTCAATTCATTAGAATTCCTTTTTATACAAAAACCAATTCAATTCTTTAGAATTTTTTTAAACTTTCAGTTACTACTTTTTATTTTATTTTATAATTTCGGTATGGTGAGGACAGTTTTTCGATAATTAAATGAAATATAAATATTTGTAAAAGTGTTACTACATTAAACCTTAACTTTAAGTCAATATATAAATGAACTGAAACTATATAAAATTTTAATTGTCATATAACTACACTATGCACACTATTTAATTATAAACATGAGAGAATTGTATCATAATCACACTTATATAGAGAATATTTACAATCATCCACGTCCTCTCGATATAATGCAACGAGTATATCAACGATTTTGATGAAAGAAAATATATGTTCGTGTGTTTGTGTGTAGAACCGATTTTGAAAACTTGTAAAATATATTATTATATAAAATTTAAAATTTATCAAAAATAATATATAATTATATAAGATTTTATAAAATATCTGTCAAGTTATATCGTGATTACGTTATTAGCATGTTCTCATATATTTTTTCATAATTAAAATAAAACAAATCTATATAGAACTTAAAAGAATATTGTGATGACTTTAGTGGAGTGAGTATATGAAGATTTTCTTATACATTGCTACAAATCAATTACTTGTATAGAGATTGGATGAATTAGTATTTATGACGAGATTTGTAATATTTTTATTTTTATCAATTTTATATATATATATATATATATATATATATATATATATATATATATATATATATATATATATATATATATATATATATATATATATATATATATATATATATATATATATATATATATATATATATATATATATATATATATATATATATATATATATATATATATATATATATATATATATATATATATATATATATATATATATATATATATATATATATATATATATATATATATATATATATATATATATATATATATTAAATGACTAGAAAATTATTATAATTTTTACAAGACTAAAGTAAAATTTTGTTATAAATATTAATTCTCTTAAATTTAATTTATTTATTTTACTAAGTAATTGTCTTTTATTGTCTTTATATCTCATTCATCGATCACACAAAAATAAAATTAGGAGATTGAATTTAAAGTTTTTAATAAAATGAATGTTTAACCTAATTTATTAATAGGAAATAACATTGATGTGGACCGAACACATGTCAGAAGAAGTTTTAATTATGAGGACTAATTTATAGTATTCATTTAGCAGACAAAGAAATAAGTGGGTCCTCACCAAAAATCGGACACTTGATTTTAGCTACCAGTGTTTCATCTATCGTAGGATCTGATTAGACGACTCCCTTATCTCACGTCGGGTTAGACATAAACAATTTTAACCGTATGTCATATATAAGCCTAACGACACGCCATTTCAGGTATTCTCAATTTCACTCTCAAGCCACATCTCTCTGATTTCATTGGTTGGGCGTTTGAGAGATAACCTTGCAGGTTCTCACCGCTCTGCCGCTCAAAAAGTTCTCATTGTTGCATCAGAAGAAATAATTTCTTTGCAATTACATATTTTGTTGTTTGTGGAAACAACTACTGATTCCCTCGATTTTCGAGGAAAACCATCATCTCTTTATCCCTCATCAACTTTAACTGATCTCCGATATACTCCAACGTTATGTCAATCTTACGTAAACCATGGCAACATCTAACTTCACTCGAATAGTCGTTTAAAGTAACATCGTTGTTATATTTATGACAGTTAACACACCTAGTCCCATAGGAGAAGCTCAAAATCTTCCAATATCATAAATCAATCCAGTCATATTGACTTCCTTCCATTCAAACTCCTTAGAGCCCAATTCTCTCAATTATCAGCTTAAGCACATTCCAGGTCCTTCCGAATTTCAATCTTCTCAATAGTTTCTACACAGTCAAGCCTCTGAACAACCTCCACTATAACCACCAATTCCTGGACAAGAGATGATATAAAACCTCTAGCAACTCCAAGCCATCCTAGACATACAAGAAGTGAACGAACTGATCAATAATGTTTGCAACTTGATACATCAAATAACTCATATTTTTGGGCTGAAAGATTCCTCAAAATTGAAGAAAACCTACAATATGATCCTTTTAGACATCACTCTCTACAATTGGCGTCCCAAGAAGATAATCAAAGTTGTGAATGAGACCAAAGGAAGGAAGTGTGGAACCATGCTTTGTAGGTTAGTGAGCAAAGAAGTATTGAAGATGAATATGATTTTAATGATGACAATTATATCTGCCTTGAATGATGACAACTAATATCATTTGAATGATGAAACCTTAAAGTCAAGTATAAAGCGATTAAAGAAGCAAACAAACTAAGTAGGACTGATAAGTTTGATCATCTGATGATGGCATCAAAATGGAATATAACTCATCCGTCATCACCAAGTAAAGCTCAAACAAATGTCAACACGATTGAAGTATCTTAGAAGTCTTGAAGTGTGTGAAAGCTCGCCATAATACGTCTAGATGAATAAGTAGTGCAAAAGCTTAAAGGTTTTCTCATAAAGTTATAGGACTAATTACACGCACACTAATAACTTTTTTAAAACCTATTTTCTTAAGAAAATATTTCTAAAAATGCTTTGAAGTCATACAGATGAAGTATGAGCTATTAGAAAAGTTATGAGTAATTTTTTGCACTGGCCAATTGATTGGCACTTATACCCAATCAATTGGGCTAATGGAAAAAAATGGCCCTTAATCTATTAGGAAAATGCCTTAATTAGTGGTAACACACGCGCACACACATACGCTCACACTCACTCATTTGCATGCACACACGCATACGCGCATGCGTGCGCGCGTGCACACACAAACACATACACACACACACACACACACACACACACACACACACACACACACACACACACACACACACACACACACACACACACACACACACACACACACACACACACACACACACACACACACATATATATATATATATATATATATATATATATATATATATATATATATATATATATATATATATATATATATATATATATATATTCTTTACTTTTTAACTTTGCTAATCGATTAATTTTAGACCAACCAATTGATTGGTGCATGATGCTAGTTGATTGGCTCATTAATTTTGGCCACAAAAAATTTCCTTTTTTGTGTCAACCTCTAACCTATAAATAGAGTTCCCTTCCCACATATTTTAAAATCCAAAATCGTGAGCCCTCGTATCTCACTTCGTACTCTCTATAAAAATATTTTCTCATTTTCTCTCACTTAAAAATTAAGTTGTAGCGCATTTAAGGAAGGTCCTTTGCGAGTGAGGCTTTTGTGAAGTTCTAGAAGAGTAGAATTTTAAATTCACCATGAAATTTTTTTTCTACCTTGGTTGAATAATTTATTGATTTAGGGATTATATATTTTGGTTTGTAGATAAACCATTAAAAGCTTTGGGTTGGGGAATTAGTTATTAAATCTCATTTTTGATTTGAAGCCTCAACAAGTGTAAAAGCTTTCATAGGTTTGAGATCAACATAGTATTTAAATCTTAAGTTGGTTAATGTTATCTAATGTAAAACCTCTTTCGGTTCGTAAGCTCAAACCGAAGAAAGGCTTACTAAGTTTGGAGATAAGCATGACTTAAAACCTCCTAGGTTCGTGGTCATCCTATGAAAACCTCGATCCACTTCGAGTTCAGCCCGTGTTAAAAACTCACCCAGGTTTGAGATCAGCCAGTGTAAAATCTCAATTTTAAAGCTTGAAAACTAACCGCTCCAAGTTGTTGTTTGGAAAGAAGACTAACTGTAACACCCCAAATTCAATTAAATTAGTTAATTGAATCTTGCTACATTTTATTTTATTAGTTGAGTGATTTAATATGCTTTTCATTATTATTTGATGAATATATATGGTTTGTGGCATTAGTGGGTATGTTGGTAGGAGTTAGGAAGAGTGGTAGAAATTAATTAGAATTTTTAATTATTTTTAAAATGAGTAGAAATATAAAATAATAAATAAAATAATATAAGTGGTTATATTTGGTTGGAAATTAGATATTTAGAAAAATAAGGGTAATTAGAGATGAGAATGGAAAAAGTGGAATAAC